ACTTTTAGAGAAATGATAAAGAGGATTGGCCTGTTTTCTTGCAAGGTGGTTAATAAACCCTTCTTTCACCAATAAGCACAAGAAGTTGAGACTTGCTTGGGCTAAGGATCATCTTCACTGGATTGAAGAAGACTGGAAGACAGTCATTTGGTCCAATGAGTCAAAGTACCAACTGATGAAGACCAACAACCACAACAGAGTGGTGCAAAGAAAGAAGGAGGAGCTGATATCAAAGAATGTTAAGCCCACTGGGAAGTTTGGAAGTGATAGTGTAATGGTGTGGGGTTCTTTCTCTGGTGAAGGTGTTGGAAGATTGGCACCTGTGACAGGCAGTATAGACAGTAGAAGATACATTGAGATCTTATAAGATAACCACTGCCCTGAACTGGCTTGACTCAAGGCACTGAATCCAGAGGTGGATTATGTTCTTCAAGAGGACAATGCCAGCTGCCACAAGAGTAGAGAGTCCAGGTTGTGGAAGTCACAAGAGAACATTGCCACTATGGAGGGGTGGCCCTCACAAAGCCCCAACCTCAACCCCATAAAACATTTATGGGAGGAGCTGGACAGGGCCATCAGAAAAAGTATGACTCCATCAAGCACTCTTCAATATTTGGAGGTGCTCTTGAAAAACGTTTCTGTGTACCTAAAAATATTTGACATGTTTGAGTATAACAAATATTCCTTTAAATATTGGTAATGTTATAGCATAGAGTTTATTTGAGGTCAACAAGATTATGTTCTTGAACAATTTTATTTTGTGGCACACTTCTTATGTTCTAACATATAAAATAATATATGAAATGCTACTGTTTTAAGAAACACTTTTTGTATAAGATATAAAGAAACGTTTATCCTTGTTAGAAGAATGAGAGAATATTCCCAAGGACACTACAGACACCCTCATTGCCAGCATGCATTGGAGATGTAGGGCTGTTATAAAGGTCAAGGATAGAAACACCAAATATTAAGGGCTTCCACCCAATAAACCTGTATTTATTATCCTGTTGGCCTTCTTTATACTTCATCCAATTCTCAAGTCTCTACTGTGTGTTTTTATGACAAAGAATAAGCATTTCCTATTACAGAAGTAGTCATGCACCATTGAATTTAATACTTGCCTAAATTTTAATAAAAAAAACTTTTTTTTTGCATAAAACTCTTCTTCTTTCCAAATAGTGTTAAACCAATACAACATGTCAGATACATTTTCAGAAACACACACTTGTGGAGAATATGATAAAGCAGAAGATAAAGAGCTATGGGGCATTTATTGCCTGTTTAAGGCTGGATTAAAATTGACTATCATTGCAAATGTAGTTGAGATGAAAAAGCCCACAGTTCAAAATAGTATCAGAAACATCAAAGAATGTGGGTCACTATTGCATTTAAAGAGTCATGGAAAACCTAAGAAAGCTAGTGAGAATGATTTTAGACACCTGGAAAGGTCATTAGAGAAGACCCATTTGCCTCATATAATCAGTTGAAATTGGAAATGTTGAAGATTCAGGTTGATGTATGTAGAAACACCATGATCAGTTACTTCAATCAGCCAGGGTTTGGATCTTTTTCTTCAGCTCACAAGCCAGCCTTAACTGAAAAACACAAAGAGAAACAGTTTTGTTGGGCTAAAGAACATGTCAATTGGACAAATGACCAGTGGAAAGGCATTGTCTGGTCTGATAAGTTGAGGTACACCATAAAAGAGAAAAATAAAGATGCCTGTGTCATCAGAAAAGTTGGAGAAAGGTATGATCCTAATCATAGTGTTCCAAAAACAAATGTTGGTGACAGCGGTGTAATAATTTGAGGCTGTATTTAGGCTAATGGATTTGGTCCATGAGTCTTTGTTGATAGCACTGTAAAACAAGACAAATATATCAAGATTTGGCTGGTGAGTTCCATCCTTGGTTTATGGAATTGCATCAGAAAGAGGATAGGGAGTTTCTGTTACAAGAAGATGGTGCTAGTTGTCATACTGGGGCCTATGCCAGATGGTGGAAAGAGGTACATCAAATTAGGGGCTTTGAGTACTGGCCTGCACAAAGTCCTGACTTGAGCCCAATTAAACACGTCTGGTGGGCTATAGAAAGACTAATTGAAGAAAGAAGGGTATCTATTACCAATGTTGAATGTTTGAATATTCTACTTGCAGAGGAGTGGGAGAGGGTTGGTGTTGAACTTGCACAAAGATGAGTTCTGAGTATGGCAGATAGATGTCAGACTGTAATTGATGCCAAAGAAGGCCATACAAAATATTAGCTGTATTATTATTATTTTCTATAATTAAAGATATTAAGCTTTGGTGTGATTAAGTTTGAAGCTTATATATCAAATGTGGAGTGTTTTATCTAATGTTGAACATATCCTATATATTTTGTCCTGAAATTTATTTTCAAAAGTATTATATTTAATTGGGTGTGACTGTATATCGGGATATGAAAAATCTTCCTTATTATTTTGAAAGCCACTGTAATTGTTTGAAAAGATCCAAGTAGATCTTGTTATTGAAGTCAAACATGTTGAAGCAAATATTTGAAGAAGGCAAGTCAACAAAATAATAAATGGAGAAAAACATAAGAGACAAAGTTTCTGAACTATCTTTTTTTGCAGCTGACCTTGATCTTCTAAGAAATGACTTAAATTCAATTCCCCCAAAAAACTGGACAAATATGAACATGATTGAGATGCTCAGTGTGCAATATCACTTCAATGAAACTAGCATAACAAAATCCAAGATAAAAGAAGCTTTATGTTTTTTCTGGGATGAAAAAGCTAATGATTTTGATGCACCAAATACTGCAAAAAAAAGAGCAATGGCACTACATAGTACCATGAACCTTGTTATTGACTCAAGGCCTGCTCTGTTCTTGATCAACTCCAACATCAAAAAGGTGCTTTCAACACAGTTGTCACTGGTTTTTATTCAATTTGATACTGACAGTCTCTCTCTCTCTCTCTCTTTATAGCAATCAAAGAAGATACTGAAAGACAGCCTAGTACAAAATGCATATGATGAAATACTTGAAGCTGGAACTAGCCACAATGAAAATAACAGTAACAGTGAAGAGCAGCAGCCTGAGCCAAAGAAGAGAAAGTATCTCAAAACAGTCAACTTCAAAGACATTAGCTGGGGGAATAAATTCACCATGTTGAATGAGCATTTGTAAGTAAAGGAACTGGATAAAGTGCCAAACAAGATACTTTTGTATTAATCATGTTTAAACAGTAGTACTAATGGCGTATTGGACTTGAAACAAACAGCAATAATACCCAGACAACTAAGAACTGTGGTTGATAGTATTTGCCAACACTATTGTCTTTTTCTGCCAATAACACTGAAGAATAAAGAGTACAAAGTTTTAAATATCATTAGCAATTGCCATATAAAGAAAAGTCTTTACCAATTTGTCAAGAAAATTGATTTGTTTTATAATGATTTGGAACTTCCATATATCAAATTGGTGGTACAAAAGCTATAAGTATTGTTAATTTTCTGATTTTTGTAAGCTATCTACTGATAGTTTTAATTCTGCATGTTATTTGCAATCTATGGCATCATGGTGTTTTAACAGGCAATCACAACAAAGATTGGTATAGGGTGAACATTTATGGGGATCTTTTTGATTTTATATTTAATGGACAAGTAGGCTATGAAACTAAAAGGTATGAAATATAGTGATATCAAACAAAGTTGGCTTAGATGGATGTGTATCATTAGGATAATTATTCTAACTTTCTTCTTTTCTATTACAGATCTGAATGCCACTCCTTAATTGTCAAGTTGTTACAAAAAATGGGTTTTCTAGATGAAGAGACAAAAGATGTCAGGCTTGATTTTATTTTTACAAACAATGGTGGTCTAAACAATGCATTTTATTGTGAAGACAAGCCTAATGAATGTGCTTTAAAAGACAGTAAAAAGACCAGGTGTTTAAGAGGGCAAGCATTGAGCTACTGGGTATCTCTTTTGCCATACAATGAATGTATTGAGCATATCACTGCCATAACCTGCCAATTCAATAAACTTAAGCTTCAAATTATGGCTAAAAAATTTATTGCTGGTACTACTGTTCATTCAGCCTTAAAGGAAGTCAGAATTCCTAATAATGATCAAGAGGGAGCCTCAGTTGCTGGATGTTTAGCAACAATTATATCTTTAGTGGTATGTACTCTTGTATGAAATACATTTGTTAACTATTTATTCTTTTCTATTTATACCTTAACAGAGAATAATAATTAGAAGCTTTGAAATCATCAAGCTTATGACTGATATTGCCAAAGAAGACAATTTAGTCCTCCTTTCCTCCTTGCTGACTCCTGACATATGCTATAGAGACAATTCACCACACTCCTCCCAATCCAGTTCAAGCTCATCATTGTCTTCTCAAGAATGGTTGACCCAGAAAAGAAAAGCAAGAATAATGCAGAAGATTGATAATACCATTGCTACCTTTGATGATAATGGTGAATATTTGAATTACTCCTGGGAGAACATCTTTTTTTTTCTCTAAATAATTAAACTTCTAAAAAAATCTTATAGAATTTTATTGTATACTAACTTCACCCACAAATAAATGAATAAGCTGTCATTTTCATGCAACTTATAAAATATGCACAAAACTGCTCCCCTAGGGCATCTTCAGAATTCTTATTGATATTCCATTAAGAGATTTGAAGACTGCAAAAACAAACATTCAATCTGATAAAATTAACATTAGCCAGAATATTACATTTAATTAGCACACCTCTTTGATGACTTTTTATGATAATAATATAATATATAATTCAAAAGAATATTTATTTGAAAGAAAAACTTATACTAGAATGGTGTCTTATTATAACAATTAATGATTTGATGCTTAGAATGATTATTTATCTATATTACATTACCTCACAGGACTTTAGAGAAATAATTATAATTTAAAAAAATCCTGCAAATTTTATTGATAACAATATACAAAATAATAATTACTATTACAAAGATGTATAAAAGATTGTAGCTGAAGGAGGTTTCGATCCTCCGACCTCTGGGTTATGGGCCCAGCGCGCTTCCTCTGCGCTATTCAGCTTTTGATATTTTTTGTTATTCCCTAATTTGAATAGAATAGTTTTAAGCCCGGAGGTATGTGCACAGAGTGGAGTAGCTAGTGGTTCTTGGTTTGGACTGAAGCCCACATAGATCAAAGAGGAAGAATAAAAGAGAAGATAGAAGATAATGTTTATTCATTGAATTCACTTGATTATTTATACTAAATTCTACAGTGTACAATTGCACATACATGTCTTGGCTTTATGTTCTCTTCACAGTGAACATGTTAAGCCAAGACAATATATTGCATTAGCATTTATCTTATTAATTATATTATATTATCTGTGTGTATCCACACAGGATAATGTGTGTTCCAAAAAGGGAAGACATGTGCAGCCAATAGTATTACTCTATTTGACAGGACAGTGTCTAGCATGGACATTTTATCAGTTACCAATTTTGATAAGATAATACTAAGCCTAAAAGTAGAGACAGCAATAAGAGGAAACTAAGAATAACAAGGTCTGGACTGAAGCCCACATAGATCAAAGAAGAATATTAAAGAGAGGATAGAATATACTTTTTATTTATTCAAAATGATTGCTTATTTATACTAATCTACATATGGTACAATTGACTACACACCAGGAGATTTTTCTGGCCTTTAAGCAATGATATCGCCTTTTAAAACCAAAAATTTCTTGCCTTTTATGGAATACCTCAATATCAAATTATATTATCAATAAAAATATTGTTTATGAATAAAATTGTTTATTATAATAATATAGCTAATAATAATATAGCTAATAATACTGTAGCTAATAATATAATATTACTATAGCTACTGCTGTTCTAGGTATATTCCTTCATAGCAATAGAATCTATACCCTAGAAGCCTTATGCTTTAATATTGGAAGATAGATAACTATGCTCAGGAGTATACCCTATGTGATTATTCAGACAAGTAGAAAATAATGAGACTGAACAAAGATAATTTTTATTAAGTAAAGAGTGGTTCATTATTTATACTTTTTGTGGGTGCTTATCCTTCAGTAGTATTCTACCTTTTGGTAGTTAATGATTAGTTCATGGCATAGCTTATTGATAGATACAACCATATGGTTGGTGTAGATGATTTATCCTATGGTAGTTTACATAGTTGTAGCTTTATGGTTAATTCATTGAATAAGCACACCATTATAGAGCCATCTAGTATGTCTTCACTTTTAATTGCCTTTGATAGGTCTTATTTAATCTACTAAGGATATATAGATGAAGGTAGCTCATTAAGTGTCTGATAATAATTTGAGCTTAGAAGGTTGGTTTGTAGTTACAACCAATCAGTGAGATTATACAGAGATGTACTATGTTACTTGTGTGCACTCAAGCTTTTCATAGAGTATTCTGAATGTCACAGCACACTACTTGTGTTGACTTATTCATAGAGAATCTTTGGATTGAAGTCAGAACATGACACTCACCCTGAGTAGACTGAAGACAAGGCATACTTACACACCAGGAGATTCTTGGGATATAAAAAGAAATATTCTGAGGATAAAATCAAAATCTTCTTATGATTGGCTAATGTGTTTAAAGATGCCTTTTTGTTGTCCAGAGGGTCGATTTCAAACTCTGCCTGCCTATCAGAACAAAGATAATTGACTGCAATTATAAAGTAGAAAATTGGCTGTAAAGACAAGAAATAGAACAAGAATCTTCTTAATTTTATAACTCAGTCACTGATATTCCTCTCTTAACATAATATGTTATCCTTAAACCCACAGTATTTGCAGCATAACAATGTTTAAAAATATTTATTGTGGGACTTGCACTGAATTGACTCTAGTGGTCATTGTCCAAAAGAGAGAGCCAAGCTTACTTACATTGAGCACAGTGCATTCATTCATTGACTGAATGTCAACTGCTTCTACAACTACTACATCATCAAAAGCTACTATAATTGTAGTGCTCAAGGGCAAGACAACATTGTTTCCAATGCTATCCTTTTGACCCAAGGAAAAAATAGTGTGAGGGTTGGGGCTTTCTACAGCCAATGTAAAATATTGTGGGTGGTTAGATGGAGTTTTGTCAGAGGCAAGTTGGAAGTTGAAAGGAAGGATGGTGGCAGTGTTTTTCTTTATATCAGTGGCAATAACCTTACCAAAGACAGGGGAAGCACCAGAAGAAAAGGAAAAGAGTCTAGCCAGACCAACAACAATGCTTTTGGAGCTGCTGTTGTTGTCTACTAACTCATGGGAAATGGTGAGGGGATGAGACTGTTGAAGCAGCTTCAACTCAGCTTCAGCAGTAAAGAGGCCACCATAGCCTGGTACCTGCCAGTACCCGCCTTGAAAGACATGTGAAGACATGTACTTTTTCCCAAAGGAAATAGCAACATCTCAAGAGGGCAACTGTCAGTTGGTGAAGATAATTTGTTCATGAATGAACTTATTGAATTGCTTGCCTCTTTCTATTTCAAAATGAATAGGTGAGGCAAAGCAAGAAATGTCTTCACAAAGATGGCTGAGAAGATGGAGTTTGAGAGTGCCACCAATGACTGTCTTCTTCACAGACTTGTTTACAGCTGGTATTGCATCATACTGGATGATTGCACTGACCAACTCTTGTGTGACGCACCTCACCTTATAAACAAAGACATCCAGAGAGAGCTTGATTCTTTGTACATAAAGAAGAGAAACAAGAGAACCATTTTTTATAAAACAATCATAATTGATTGTTTTCTCATTGGTGACAACAATGAGATTATTTTGGATCAAGAGATTCAAAATAATAGGCATTTGCTGCACAATTATTTTAAAGTCTCTTCCAAGATAAGAGCCACAATGGCAGAAAGGAGTACAGTGCTTTCTTGTGAAAGCTCTTGAACTGTACTGGAAGAAGCTTTCTTCCAAGTACCTGACTTCTTTCTTAGTGAAGAATGGCACCATGCCAATCACAAGACTCTTGGCAACACCAAGGAGGATAGTGTAGAGTATCTCCACCAGGCAATCCTTGTAGGGATCCCATGACTCAAGAGATAAAAGTGCTTCACCACCAGTTAGCTTGAAGCCAGTGCTGGGGTTACTTCTTAGGCTGGTGTTGTTAGGGTTGTTTTCACAATGTTGGCACATCTCCACCAACTCCTCTCTTCTTCTTGCAGGGGCACCAACCACTACTGCTCTTTCACCTTTGTTTCTCCATAAACATTTTCTACACAGGAGCCTAGCCTTGGGACTAAGACTACATGCAATTGCTGCATGCATAGGATTGTGTCATGTTCTGACTTCAATCCAAAGATTCTCTATGAATAAGTCAACACAAGTAGTGTGCTGTGACATTCAGAATACTCTATGAAAAGCTTGAGTGCACACAAGTAACATAGTACATCTCTGTATAATCTCACTGATTGGTTGTAACTACAAACCAACCTTCTAAGCTCAAATTATTATCAGACACTTAATGAGCTACCTTCATCTATATATCCTTAGTAGATTAAATAAGACCTATCAAAGGCAATTAAAAGTGAAGACATACTAGATGGCTCTATAATGGTGTGCTTATTCAATGAATTAACCATAAAGCTACAACTATGTAAACTACCATAGGATAAATCATCTACACCAACCATATGGTTGTATCTATCAATAAGCTATGCCATGAACTAATCATTAACTACCAAAAGGTAGAATACTACTGAAGGATAAGCACCCACAAAAAGTATAAATAATGAACCACTCTTTACTTAATAAAAATTATCTTTGTTCAGTCTCATTATTTTCTACTTGTCTGGATAATCACACTGTCCACGTTTTCTTGCATCCAGACAGACAAGTCACTTGAGGGCAATACAAACCCATACAACAGAAGTACATTGCATGGGCACAGGCACACTCCATAGACCCAATTCTTTGTCCCGTTCTCATCCTGAAGCACTACATTGACACCATTGCCACACTACCTTGCCACCTACCACATCCCATTTGCCCATCTAGGTCCATCAACTACCTTGTCTGGCACCTTTGTGATTTCTCTTGTCCTCTCAGTTCCAAAAGAATTGGTAAATACATAAACAGCCTTACAGGCCTAATACCTTGTTGCCAACAGTCAGGCCACCCTCATGCTTGTGCTCTTGGTTCTTCTGCTGCTGCCCGCTTTGGTGTCCCTATTGACAACATCCTCACTCATGATTCTTGGGCTTCTTCCTTAGTGTTTGACACCTTCTACAGGCTTTCTAAAGAGACAGCTACGGATTTCACATTGGTCACTTTGGGTTCTGGTTTTTTGCCCGGTAGCACTCTGACTGTCACCCACCCACCCTTCCCATTTTGCACCTATATGCAATGGTAGAGTTGTATATAACAAACTAAACTAGTATATATACCTAAAATTTGAATATTTTTGAACAAATAAAGAAAAGATGGTAACACAGTCAGAGTCTCCTCCTACTCAAATAATAAGGTATGTCCTTTGGCCTATGGCCTTGGACAGATATATCATTATTATTGTTGTTGTAAGCCTAGCACTCTCCGGAGTTCCAGCAGAAGTTGAACATTCTTCCATGGTTGCTGAAACAAACATCATGAGTCATCAGCCATAACAATTGCTATTGTTGGAAAACCCAAAAAACAATAGGTGTGTTTGTTTGAATTAAAGGATATATTTCTCAAAGATTCATTGTATGAATTTTGGTCTACTTATATATATATATATTCTATGCTAAAAAGGTTTAAGTTATACAGTAATGGCTTAGTAAATTCAGGGATGGTTTTCCCTCCCTTGTCCTATATGTGTTTCAAGGGGGGAAAGTCTTCACATTTACAACACTATGTCGATACCTACAGACTAAATGTTAGTCATTAGTTGTAAGGACTGCTGTACTGCTACCTGCAGTACCTGTTAACAATTAGTCATAATGGCTCTATACTACTTCTAATAATCAGAGAAATAGAATAGTATAAATATCTACAATTCTACATACAAAATAAAGTATCTTTTCTCTACCCAAAAGTTCACCCTTCTACTTCTCTAGCCATCTAAGGC